CATAAGTAATAGCAAAGTATAAAAGAGATTTTCATTAGTAAATTGGGCACAGACTGTAGCCATTTTACATGTGAAAACTACTAGATAAAAAGCTACAAGTTTGTAGGGAGGGAAATGCTTAGCAAAAAACTTAAAAACTGTAGCCATACATAAAAACTACTAAACGAAAAGTTGTAACAATACATTCAAAATCCTTAAACAAAAATAACTACTGTTGCCCTAATCAATCCTCGGAGTCAGACTCCAGCGGCTCAACATCCACTTGCTCGTATGGAATCGGCATAGCCAATGTCACATTAGCAGCAACAAGGGCTTTGAGCCAACCGTGTTTGAATCCCCGGTTCTCGAATTTGGGGACTTCTTCCACATAATTTGTGAGGGCAGTGCTTTGCCCAGCCTTGTATGCCTTGGAAGCCTCAGAGTCGGCTACCTTCTTCGCCGCCTTCGATTCTTTCAAGTCCGCCTCAAGTTTGGCGATCGCCTCTTGGGCTAACTTGAGCGCAACTTTGCTCGCGTTCGCCCTCTCCTTGGCGGCCAATCTGAGCTGGTCTGCATTTCTTGCCCTTTCCATTTCGGCCTCGGCCCTTGCACCTTCCATCTTCGCCCTTACCACTTTGAACTCAGCCCGGTTCCTTTGGCCCTCAACTTCAGATTGTAAACAGCCAATTTGTTCGATGGTGTCGTGCTGGCGATGGCCTATCTCGGCTATCCTTTCGACCGTCTGCAAAACAGGAGATTAAAACCAAAATATATGCATAAAAGGGAAAGGCAAGATCAAGATATTTACTAGAAGAGCCGATTGAGCAGCTAACATTATTGCTAAAAGATCCGGCTCCGAGCGGAAAGCCGCCTTGTCAGACGGCAATGAGACTGACGAAGACATGCTTAGCGCCACGGCTAGATCTTTCATAGCCGACGCATCAGAGGAGATCGACATATGTTTTTATCTTTGGTTGAACCACAAAAGGCACAACCGTATCTGACTTCTCTAAACGCGGCCGTTTGTCAGCAGGGTTGTTTTCAGAACTGGCCTCGACCTCGGCAGGACGTTTCTCCGCCCTTCGTTCAGCCTCCTGATTCGCCGACACGACCGGCTCCGACTCGGCATTTCGGGTTTGAGCCATCTCCTCCTCCATAACAGGCAGGGGGGGCTCAACATCGGCAACGGGTGGCACTTCGGATCGAATGGCCTCTGCTCAAATGGCCCCTGCTCTTCACCGCACGGCCATTCATTCGGCGTTTTTCTTTTTGGCGAGTTTGTGTAAGTGACAACCCGGCCATGTCTTCGGGGTACGCGTTGGGAAGGTCTTCTAATCTAATAAAAACGTCGTCGTAAACGTCTCCTCGACCTGAGGTGGACAGAGGGTTGTCTGAATTGAGGCCGGCTTCCTCAAAGGTTACCCTTAAAGCCTTGTCTATTTCGGCCTCAGACTGGCCTGATTCTTCAGCGACCTCAGTGACTTCTGCAAGTTCCGAGTCGGATCCGTCAAAACCAATTTGACACAAGTTTTTGAAGTTGGTTAAAATAAGAACCGTAAGAAACTCTTCACCTTTCGGAATCGGGATGTTTTCTACTACCGAGAACGTCGTGTACGTCAGCTCGTATCGAAGAAGAATGTGGGCCGCCCTCCCTTGTTTCTGAAGGCTTGGACGGCCGAAGTATTTCAGCACGACTTTGATCTCCGTAAGAACGGCCTTGTCGGTCGAAGTCAAGACTTTCTTCAAATCGTTTCCTGTACAAACCAAACCATGAGACCGAAAAGATGAAGTCTTGTATATACAATAAAAATAAGTGCAAAGGGCTATATGGCCACCTGGTTCGCCCCTCCGTCTAAGGATAGGATCTAAGCGGTCCTCGCCTTCGCCAAATTCCCAGTTACCTCGGACAACGACCATGACATCATTGACTCGCTTCCTAGAGCTGGAAAGCATGTCACTCACTGATGGTCGGTGTCCTTGGCCCTGAAGAAATAACGCTCATGCCGACCATAAGACTTGGCCAAGGCATAACAATGCCGAATAGCAGGTATGACGAGGTTAATCCTAAGGCGACGGTTTAACTCTATAATCCCCGTTACAATTCTAAAAAAGTTGACATTGGGTTGGGAAGGGATTAGACCCCAATGGCGAAGGACAGCCCTAAGGAATGGGTGAAAGGGGAAACAGACTCCACCCTCTGCAATTGATAGGAGAGGGAAGACGATTATGCTTTCATCAGCCCTCTCCATATCGAGGGTGCCGTCTATCACGAGTGATAAATGGACGTCATCAGGGATGGAAAAATGGCATCGAAAGCCAGAAATTCGATCCGTGGAGAGGGGATCTTTCAAATGTTTTGCCATTCTTTTCAGCCTATAGGAGTATGCTAAACCAAAAACAAAACAGGAAAGAGGATTCAAAGCAGAGAGGGAGAGAACTTACAAGAGACGAAGAGGACAGTGAGGGTAAAAGGAAGTTACAGAGGTAAGTTGGAAGGTAGTCCAACGACTTCAAGCACCTAAAAATGTGAATGTGTTTGAAAAGACGTTGAAATTTTAAATCACAATAAATAGAAGTGTACAAAGGGGCGGGAAGTTAAAATGATAACCGAGAGGCGTGTGCTCTGACATCTATGTTGGAATGAGGTTAGCCGCCGAATTTCGGCTCTGACTTTTCGAGTTCGAAACCAAACACTCCAGCTAACTGTCGTTAGTGGAGTGTTTGGGGGGCAATTGTGGGGGCTGAATATTGGGAGACGTAAATAGGCCGAATAATTAGACCTGGAGAGTCGAAATATACACATCGCATTCGGCCCCGCCTTACACATTTAAATCTTGCCCTATTCGGCCAAATAGCCGGTTGAGTAAGGGGCTGAGTGAAAAGCGATTTGCAGCAAAAGGAGCCGAGTAAATAGTTATACGGCGAATCGAAAGTGGGCCCAGCCTCGAGGCCTAATAAAGAAAAGAAATAAATAGAAGAACATCAGCCAGAAAAATGTATGTGAGAATCAATACACTTAACTTAAAATACAAGTAATCCAGAGAGTAGAGACTGACTTGTCCGTCGGAGTGCTAATTCCAACACCCACGACCGGAGTGTTTATTCCTTTTTAGGTTAATAACAGAGGATCACGAGCGTCCCCCGGGATCCAAACAGTATTTCCAAGCCACCTTCCCCACATACACATACAATTAAAATTATATATTTTCATATCTATTACAAAATAAATATAGAAAAGAATCAATTATGTAATGTTAGAATTTATGGTTTTATAAGTTTGTTTTGGGCCAACTTTGAGTCCAAATTTGAGTGGGTCCCGCACGTATTTTGAGGTGGGTTCAAAGAGGTGATGTATTCCTTACCGCATGGCAAGTTACATGGTGAAGACAGTTTATCAAAACCATTTATGAGTGAATGGGAAGTTGACATCTTTTTCGGGTTCGTGGAATGGACAACTCAAGAAGTAAAATATGGGTTTTCTTGAAATGGTTATTTTACGTTGGAAACTTAAGAAAACTTATGTGTGTATATAAGTTTTAGGTGACAACACTTGGGTTGGGCCCCAAGGGACACCCCAAGTTTATAGAAGGGAAGAGTTATGGACAAGGTGAACCTTGGCTCAAACTACTACATACGCGTCACCGTCTTCCTGCCGAGCTGTGCTTGGGTGTGGGTCGAGTTAGGTCGATCCTAACATTAACTTTTTGGACAAAAATTATTTAAATTTTTCCAAAAAATACTTGCAAGAAAAGTTTGAATTTTTCACCAATTTGAATTCAATTTTTTCTCTCTCAATTAGTGTGTCTTTTCCAAACCAATCCAAGCAGATTCAAACAAATTTTCAACCTGTTTGCACCGAACATATTCTGTCTCTTCCCAGACAGTTTTAAAACTGCCCAGCAGTTTCCAACAAATCAAACAGGTTTTCAAACCGATTTTTGCACCTGTTTAGTTTGAAATTGCACCTGTTCGGATTTGTCCAAGGGTCACCATTTATGCCTATAAATAAAAGTTTTATTCCAGCAGATTTTCACAATCATAAACATCCAGAAAATTCATTCCTTTTTCGTTTTTGCACTCTTGTTTTTTTTATTCTTTATCCTAATTTTTTAGAGAAATATTTGAAAGCATAGAACATAGGTTCTAATTCACCGTACAAATTGTTTGGGGGTGCTACTACAATTTGTGTACATTATTGTATCATGAGAAATAAACGCCATTTATCCGTAGACACTGGAGTGGGGCAAATCTGTCTTAAAGATAGAGTGTCACACATTCCACTTGATCTAATTTTATACTCAGTCATTCGGTATAATAAATTCTGTAAGTAATTTATTTTTATTTATGTTTGATTTGTTTTAAGTTATTTATTTTATATAGAAGATTATCCCACCATATAAATCACATAATCAATCTTACACTAACCTCATGGATTGCTAACTCCCTCCTTAATCAAAAAATTATAAAAATTCGATGAACCGTGCTACGTAGCTCGAAAGAGAGGGCCCCCGAATCTCCCGAATTCAAAACGACGTCGTTTCGTCGTTTTGATTTTTTTTTTTTTCAATCAGAAAATCAGAAGAAGAAGAAAGAAAAAAGAAGAGAGAGGCAGAGGCGGAGGCGGGGCTGAGACGAGTTGCGACGATCGGCCGACGAGCTACGACGAGCTGCGATTGATCGACGGAAGCGGAGCGGCCCTCTCTTTCTCTTCGAGTTCGAAACCAAACACTCCAGCTAACTGTCGTTAGTGGAGTGTTTGGGGGGCAATTGTGGGGGCTGAATTTTGGGGGGGGGAGGGAATTTCGGGAGAAAAATCATTTTCCAAATTCGATAACTGAAATTTTTTTAAAATTTCAAATTTATAATCTAAATTTTAGGGGTTTAATACGGTAGCCGCGCGTTGACAGCCGTGATTATATATTTTTACCAAAATCAAGACCCAATAACGTCGTCGTTTTCAGTATCTTCCTCCCCGAGTCTTTTAACTTTCAGAGCAGAGTAAAAAAGCTTTGTTCAAATTTCTCTTCACTCGTCAAAAGCACAGCAAAGCCACCCAAAATCAAGAGAGGGAAAGTGAGAGAGAGAGAGAGAGTAAAGAAAGAAGAAAATCTGAAGCTCTGGACTCCCACCAACTACCACCAGAACGAATGGTTCAGAACTAGCCCAAGAACACTTTTCAAGAACACTCTAGAACTAGCCACAATCGATTGATTCTGGTGGGGTTCTTGATTATTGGAAGTTGCGAAAATGGCCAGTCCGAAATCGGGGCGATTGGGCATTACACCTGGTTCTAGGGTTTTGAAAAACCCTCTCAGTGACGATGCCATCTGGAAACGCCTTCGAGAGGCAGGCTTCGATGAAGACTCCATCAAAAGGAGGGACAAAGCTGCTCTCATCGCATATATTGCCAAGCTTGAAACTGAGGTTTATCTAATTCCGACATGTTTACATTTTTTTTTTTTGGATTGATCTTTATATGAAAATCAAGCACATATACTCTTATTTAAACAAAAAAGTTCATTTTGATGGGTTTTATTGGATTACTAGGAATTTCACTTATTGTATTCATGATCAGATTACTCTCTGAATTAGAATTGGAATTGGAATTGGAATTGGAAGTAATTTTGGTGGTTCTCAAGAATTTGAAGAAAAAAAAAAAATGAGAACAACTTTAAGTCGATTTTAATTTTGTATCACATCCTTTAGGCCATCACCAGTAAAAATTTAAGTATAGGCTTCGGTAATGGCAGAGTTGTAAATTTTAAAACCACAAGATGGTGTTGAAAATTTTGAGTGAAAAAATGGGTAAAACTCTATTTGACATAAGTTTGAGCCAAGGAGCGGAGAGGTTTTTGAGTGATTTTGACTAAAATTTAAATTTGATATAGGTTTGAGTCAAGGGTTGAAGATGCCCTTGTGTCAGATAGGGTTCAGTTCATGCGTTGTTAAATATATTTAATTTTTTGAAGAAGGGGAAATGAGCGGGAAATATTTCATGTTCTTGTGGATAGTGTGTTAAATTGGTTAGTCATGATTTTGTGAGTTGTATAATTCATTTGGCAAGTGAAAGTGGCTTACTTGAAAGTTTTAATGGATCAATTGAAAATTTCCAAATCTACAGTGGCATTACATTCATGTCGGTTATCAATTTCATTACTAAGCACCATCTAAAATTTATGTAGATCAATGATCATCAACACCACATGGGTCTTCTTATTATGGAAAGAAAGGAGTGGGTTTCCAAGTATGAGCAAATTAAATCCTCTGCTGAATCTGCTGAATTTCTGTATAAGCGGGATCAAGCTTCACACTCATCTGCTTTAGCTGAAGCCAAGAAACGAGAGGAGAATCTGAAGAAGGCTTTTGGAATTGAGAAGGAGTGTGTTAGAAATGTATGCTTATTTAAATAGCCCTTTTCCTATCGGTTTCACCATCATCTTTATTCCTAATTTGGGATTTTTCTGTAGATTGAGAAGGCATTGCATGAGATGCGTGCAGAATATGCTGAGACAAAAGTTGCAGCCGAGAGCAAATTGGCTGAAGCACAAAGTATGGTGGAGGATGCTCAGAAAAAGTACACTGAGGCTGAGGTGAAGCTGCATGCAGCAGAATCTTTAGAAGCTGAAGCCAACCGGTATCACCGCATTGCTGAAAGAAAGTTACATGAAGTGGAAGCACGTGAAGATGATCTCAGGAGGCGTATCATGTCATTCAAGTCTGAGTACGTCTTTTACTAACCTTTTGTCTTCATCATTATAGCACCATCACTGAAGAGATCTGTTATTTCCCCTGTTGTCTTTGTAATATCATTGTGTTTTAGCTCCATTTGCCAAGATTAAATCAAGGGATTATTGGAAATGGATGCCTGATATTTGAAGATGGCTGCATGCAACTTGCAAACAAAGATACTCAATTTATTTTTTTATTTTTACTTTTCTTTGAAAAAGGTAAGATAGATAAAAAATAAATACATATATTAGAGTAAAGAAAAGAAAAGAGGAGATTAAAAGGAAATAATTTGAATGTAGTTGAATTTGAGGCATCATAGAACTTTTGATGCTTTGAGAGAGAGAATTGAAGATTGATCATTTCGATCATCAATATAGATAGAAAGCAGAAAAGAAAAGAGGAGATTAAAAGGAAATAATTTGAATGTAGTTGAATTTGAGGCATCATAGAACTTTTGATGCTTTGAGAGAGAGAATTGAAGATTGATCATTTTGATCATCAATATAGATAGAAAGCCCTCTTTATGCATAATTTGCCCCTAAATTACATCTCTTTAGTACTTATGATTCCATTTGTTTTTTTCTGTGAACTGTTGTTGTAGCCTTTGTCTCTTACAGGGATTTTGTAATATTTGTGTGTGTCAAGTGTCAACAGCGATTTGGTTCCAAAAAGTATTGAATTTATGTGTTATCTACTGATCTTTATGAGAGTTGTGTTCTTGCCTGTGTAATTTTAATAGGGACAGTTTGGTTTCTGGTAGTTATGAGTTTTTTGTGTTGTCTTGATGGGTTAGTTGTGATGCTAAAGAGAAAGATATCCTTCTTGAGAGAGAAACTTTATCTGAAAGGCAGAAAACTCTGCAGCAATCTCAAGAAAGATTACTTGATGGACAAGCCTTGCTAAACCAAAGGGAGGACTACATTTTTAATAGATCTCAGGAATTAACTCGACTTGAGAAAGAGTTGGAGGCTTCAAAAGCAAACATTGAGAAGGAACTTAGAACCCTAAATAATGAGAGAAGCATTCTGGAGCTAAATGTAGCTTCTTTGTCTGCAAGGGAGGAGGTATATACATTAATGCTCGTTTTATTTTTCTTTTTATGTGGAAAAATTTTGTCACTATACTCTGCATTGTTCACAAAACCCGGGTCTTCTTTCTCATCTCCAATTATTCATTCCACAAGCACAAATTCCACTTTTTGTGGGCCCAAAAATTCTTTCTCAGGAGTGAATTGAAAATTTATGCAATATTTTTTTTTGAGTGTTCACAGGCTGTTGTCAAAAGGGAACGCGAGCTGAACAAGAGAGAAGAAGAGCTACTCATTCAACAGCAGAAACTTGCAAGCAAAGAATCAGTGAGTTTGCCTTTGTCTTCATTTCCGATTTCTTTCAAGCTATACCAAGTGCTTGCTTATGTTTCTTGTGCCTCTGTGCTGCAGTGTTGTTCAATATTTCATACTCAAGTCCTGGAATAAAAAGCACCTGTTTTTAGTTATTGTGTGCAGTTCTCTTCTAATCCTGCTTCTTGATGAACAATGTAGGATGCAATTCAACAAGTTATAGTTAAGCATGAAGCTGCTTTGAAAGCAAGGAAATCTGAATTTGAAGCAGAGTTGGAGCTGAAGCGGAAATTGGTGGAGGAGGAAATGGAGTCCAAGAGACGTGCTTGGGAGTTGAGGGAGTTGGATCTTAGTCAACGGGAAGGCCTAATCTTGGAAAAAGAACATGACTTGGAGTTTCAGTCAAGTGTATTGGCAGACAAGGAGAAGGATTTGACACAGAGGGCGAATCTACTCGACGAGAAAGAGAGAAGTCTCCTTGCTGCTGAAAGAGAGGTTGAATTGAAGAAAACCGTTCTGCAGAAGGAAAAAGAAGAGATCAACAGCATGAAGCTTGATCTTCAGAAATCTGTGGTTTTACTGGAAGACAGAAAGAAACAAGTTGATTATGCCGAGGAGAAAATGGTGGCCATGAAAAGTGAAACGAATGAATTACTGGTTTTAGAAATGAGGCTTAAAGAAGAACTTGATACCATCAGAGCCCAGAATCTGGAACTTGAGGTTTTGGTAGATGAGTTGAAAGCAGAGAAGGCAAAGTTTGAAACCGAGTGGGAATTGATTGATGAGAAAAGGGGAGAATTACAAAAAGAAGCAGAACGTATTGCTGAGGAGAGACTAGCTATTTCTAAGTTTCTCAAAGATGAGCGTGATTGCCTGAAGTTGGAGAAGGATGAAATGAGGGATCAGTATAAACATGACATGGAGTCACTTTCTCGTGATCGGGAATCATTCTTGAGTAAAATTGAGCATGAGCGTTCGGAGTGGTTCAGCAAGATTCAGAAAGAACGGGCAGATTTTTTGCTAGCAATTGAGATGCAGAAGGGGGAACTGGAGAATTGTACTAATAAGAGGCGTGAAGAAATTGAAAGCTATCTTAGGGAAAAAGAGAAGGTCTTTGAGGAAGAAAAGAAGAAAGAACTTCAGCATATTGCTTCTCTTCGGGAAACTGTGGCAAAGGAAATGGAACAAGTTAACTTAGAATTGCAAAAGCTTGATGCTGAGAGAAGAGAGATCAATTTGGATCGGGAACGAAGGGACAATGAATGGGCAGAGTTAAATAACTCCATTGAAGAACTTAAGGTGCAAAGGCAGAAGTTGGAGAAACAAAGGGAGTTAATGCATGTGGATAGAGAGGAGATTCTTGCTCGGATTGAACAGATGAAAAAATTGGAGGATTTGAAAATTGCCCCAGATCATTTAACTGTTCCTGAGATTCAAGAATCCAATCTAAAGTTTAGCAGAGAAAAAGTTTCTGCAAAAAGATTTTTGAAGCAGCAGACTGATGTACATAATGTTAAATTGGATTTGAATAACAAAATAGATGTTAATGACGATGGTATTGGGCTTGATCTGTCTTCTAAAAAGGGATCAGAGGTTGCTTCTCCTCCTGTCTCTACTCCTTTGTCATGGCTAAAACGTTGTGCTGATTCACTGCTAGAGCACACACTGAGTAATAAGAAAAGGAAGCGGCAATCAATCGAGATCACTAACCCCTGGTATTGTTCCATGCAATCAAGTTCTCATGTGTTTAACTTATTAATGGTATTTCTATAGCTATGACAATTTACCTTTTTACAATTTTCTTTGTTTATCTATTTATTACTAGTATGTTGTCAACGCAACAAAATACACCGGACAATGAGCGTGGGTTGATGTCATTAAGCCAAACCCCGGGAGGTGCTGAGGAGACCATGGTCTATATAGATAAAATCATTACTGTTCAAGAAATAACCTCGGCAGATGGTGGAAGAGTTATTGAGGATAGTCAGGTAAGTACCAATTTCAAAATAATTCCTGCCGCTTCATTCTTTAGGTGCATATTCAAGTAATGGCTTGTTGACTATATTTTAATAGCTTCTTGATTCACTTGCTATTATGTTCATCTGGATGGTTTTGTTTTCATGTCTTGTATATGAAACTTGTGCTATTCAAATGTATAGGGGAGCTCCACATCTGTCTTTTGTGCCAATTTAAATAACTGTCATTTTCAATTGATGGTAGATCATAGTCATCCCAGCTGTTTATAAGATACTTGTTTAGCCATAGCTAAATATTTTCTGAGCGTTCTAAAGGTGAGAGCTTGTGGTATGCTGCTGTTTGCCATAGCAGAAACCATGTTGGAGGTTGTTATGACATTTGTGAATATATGTGTATGTACAATTTGCTGTGTGGCAAATGATCTGCTCACATATTCACTTTACTCTCTCGTGTTCATTGAAAATTTGATTGTGGTATTTATGTGGTTAGCTCTTCTTTTCAGCTTGTAAAACATATGCTCTTGTCCCAATGAACTGCGTCTTATGATGTGTTACTTCTGTAGTTCATATCACAATTTGTTTCTTGAATTCTCAGTGTTATGCATGCTGTTTAGCTGTTATTAGATAGAGTTATTCTTGTTCAATGGTTTCCTTATCTAGAATATTTTATGCTCTGTTTGTTTGGCTGGAAAATATTTTTTGTAAAACGTTTTTCACATTTTTTGACATTTGGTATGGTGGAAAGAAAGTCTTGACGGAAAATGTTTCCACTTTTAAAAGGTAGATAACATTTTTCGGACTAAAATCTTTATCGCCTCCTCCACCTCTACCACCACGGCAGCCACCTCTACCTTACCACCACCTCAACCACCCCACCACCACTAGCACATAAGTTTCAAAGTTGCAACCAAACATAGGAAAACTTTTTCTACTGAACATTTTTCGGAAAATATTTTCTACCGAAACACGTGGATTGTTAAGGTCACTTCCTAATCATTTTATACACAAAGGACTTGAGTCTCATGGTAATCAGCTTTGTAGTAAATTGTTATTGCAGGACTTTTGTGGATGCTGATCAATGAAGACTGCTTCCTTGATCCATTTTTTCTTTCTTTCTGTATCACATTCTTATTTCTTTCATTGCTTTAGCATTTTTTAAGAATCCTTAATGTTTTCTCTGTAGTACCAACAAGAAATCATCTCCGAGAAGATTGAGGAGAAGCTTGAAGATCATGGCAACTCCAAATCACATGAAAATGGGAAAGCTAAGCAGACAGTTGAATAAAGGACGAGATCAAAACAGGTGTGAAGTTCTGTTTGCTTTATCAAGTCCAATTGGTTCTGCGCCTGGTGTTTGCACCAGTTTACATAAAAGTATATTTTCTTTCTTTCCTTTGTGTGCTTGTCCCTTTTATCAAATTACTTGCAAGCGTTGTGAAATCTAGTTTTCTAATTAGATGTTCTCTTCAGGTACACAACAGAACAATGGAAGCTAGCAGTATAAACTTGGAGGGGTTTGTTTTGGTTTTCTAATTAGATGTTCTCTTCAGGTACACAACAGAACAATGGAAGCTAGCAGTATAAACTTGGAGGGGTTTGTTTTGTTATGGCCAGTGACGTGTTTATCTGCAAGCTCAAACATGTATATGACGTAGCTTAGTTTAGTGTAGTATCGAAGGGACCTGTAAATTCGGTCTGTCCTAATATTTGGCTTTACATGTGCGGAGTGTTATTTTAAGGCAGTTTTTGGTCATTGAGTTTCACAGCGTTTGTAAAGATTGGAAGGTCTTGTTTCTAGTAAAAGCTCGTGGATCGTCTGGTTTGTTAGTTATAAAATGTTACATAATGAGCCTATCTTTTATACTCTCTCTCTTTCTCTATACGCGTGCCAATGTATGCTCCATTTTTTTTTGGACTTATGTGGCGCAACCAACACGCCCTTGGAAAAAAGGGATATGCAGGATATGCGAGCATTTGAGCCTGTACAGTGGGAAAATGGAGCATAAATGAAATGAATGCATTCTCATTGTCTGCACTCAAATTGAAGTAAAGATGTAATATTACTGTAGGGTTTTTTAATGGGTATAGAAAGATAAAACTATTCGGCTTAAGCATTCAGATCTTGGTCCAGTCTCTTGTCCATTTCTTTTTCTTTTTAACATTCTTGTTTTGGCCTTTAGGTTTTAGCTTTGAAGTCCTCTCCAACTTGGTCACTGGTTTGTTTTCTTTTTCAATTTTCATTTTTTCTAAAGGTTGTTTGTTGAGCCAAAATGACCAAGGAAATTCATGAAGTATGAGTATTTTGACAAACATGTGTATTTGTATCGGGTACTTATTGTGTATTGACATATATATATCAACAATGATTCATCCCACTAATTGACTATTAATGATGTGGAAATTCAAAAAAAAAAAAAAAAACTTAAGACCAAAAAAAAAAAAACTTAAGATCAAAACATCACATCAATAAGTGGGATTCACTAATTAGTGCTCTTCTAGTGATCTTAAATTAGTGGTCTTAAATATTTTCTATATATATATATATTTTGTTGAACAACAAAAAAAAGATGCTTTGAGGTGCTATTACTGCATCCGTGAGCCTAGGTTGAGGGTAATTGATTGCCTACCTGATTTGACGAAATCCATAGAAAAAGATCTATTACTGTGATATCAATAGAGTTTAACCACACGTTACATGATCGTTTTTATGTATTGACACTTTGTATGGTTACTTTTGCTAATATATTGATTTTTTTTATTATTTAATTTTTAGCGTACCACAGACCTATCTCATATATATTCAAGTTGTATTTTAGTTGAAATTATATATATATATTTTTTATACAAAGATGAATTTAGTTTCATTGAATATTTCATATGTTTAATTAATATGATTTTAAAATTAAATTTTGATTTATAAGTTATTTAATATAGTAACATTTAATTTTGATTTATATTTTATTTTTGACATTAAATATGAATTATAAGTTGAATTTTAACCAATCAAATTATTTAATTAATCTTTCTATTATTTTAAATTAAAATTAAATATTTTTTTAAAAACTGTAGACACCTCATTTTTGACCGTCCTCAAGACTTTGATGTTATTGTAGGTTCATCCAACAACAAGTTTGACTGCTTGTCGAGTGTCCGACTTTCACGACGGAATGCTTCAGGTTTGATCCTTCCAAACCCTATTTCCATTCTGTCTTATTTTTGGACCATGTGTTGGTCTTTGCTTTGTGGTGTCCTTGATGGCCTGCCGGCCATCATGGAGGGCTGCCGACCGTCATTAGGCCCTACCGACCATCAATGAGACACTGCTGACCACCTTTGTTTTAACAGATATTTTCTCAGATCTTTTGAGCCAGTTGTGGCTCACTGAGCTATCCTTCATATACGTGTATGGAGGGATTGAAACAAGCTTTTAGCTTGTCAAGCAAGCCTTTGCTTGCATTCTCTATATATGGAGAGGTGTCTCCCCCTTTACAGGGGTTCAGAAATTTTAGAGACAAAATCTCTCTCTCTCCCTCTTTCTAGAGTTCTCACTCTGTCTCTCTCTATATTGTGCTCTATAGTGCTTAGAAGTGTGTTTTCTTCACATTTTTGCAAAGAAACACCTAGTCAAACACCACTACCTTGGAGCTGAGGTCCTTGAAGGTTTGTTTGGAGTTTAAAAAGCTGGTTTTTGGCTCAGAAGTTGCCCTCTTGCTGCTGTGCTTCAAAGGTGAGCATATTCTCTCTTTTAAGCCTATTTTTGTATACCATATTAGCCACCTTTGCATGTTGTTTTAGGCTTGGTTGTTAACTACAAAAAGCTCTATTTTTAAGTGTTAAAAATGGTTGTTTGAGGCCCTGTGGGAGGTGGGGGTGTTTCACCCCCTTTTATGCTTTATTTGCTAAGCTTTTGGGCCATCCTTTAAAGTTTTTGGAACTATCTCTTTTTGGCTTTTTAACTACTGAATTCCAGAGGAATTTCAGTGGTAGAAAGGTGGTTTTGAGGTCCCAAATAAGAGGGGGTGGTCCCTTCTCCTCTTGTTTTGTTTGCATGTGTTGATGGTCCATCAAATTAGCATGTGTTCCTACATCTTTGTGGCTTTGTTCGAGCATATTTTTGTGACTTTTTAGACCTGCCATAACTCTGTTTTTGGCTTGTTTGACCATTGGTTGCTTGCTCTTTACACTTGTAGTCTAATCTTGCTCACTAGCTTTGTATGCTTGCTACTTTAGCTCATCATTCTAGCTTATTTTGGCTATACTCCAACATGCTTTTACTCATGTTTTGGTATGCTTTAACTCTGTTTTGGGTGGTTTAGGTCATATAAGGCTTGCTTTGTATGGCTATAACATGATAGGCTTTAATAGCTTTGTGTTTTGAGTCCTCCAGAGTTGTTTGCATGATTTGACATCATTTGATATGTGATTTCAGAGCATATATCGCTGTCATATTCTCATATATATCACTCTTTCAATACTTTTGAGAAGTTGAGCCTCATGCCTTGTTTGTAAGCCAATACAGGAGCATATCTTCGTCGCCATCAATGCTGCAAGTTAGCATGTTTTTGCTACTGTTTCGACTTGCCTTAGGTCTGTTTTGAATGGTCAAGGTCATTTGAGCATTGCTTAGTATGGTTGCAGTGTAAGGGGCCTTGACTAGCTCTGAGTTTTGAGGCCTTCAACATGTTATGCATGTGATGTTTGCATGGTATGGCACCATTTAACATGTAATTTCAGTGCATATAGTGTAGTCACACTCTCATATACTTCACTTCTTCATAGCTTTTGAGGGTTATGTATTATGCCTCGCTTATAGGCCAACATGTGTCCATGTTCTTCTAGCATTTTGAGCCCCCATTTCAGCATGTTTAGACCATTATTTTGGTATGATTGAGCTCTGTCCGGAGTTGGTTTGGTCATTTGTGCTATATATTGCATGCCTCTTGTGTATTGCACTTCACTAGCTTTGGTGTTTTTGGTCCTCAACATGCCTTGTTTGCATTGCATAGTGTTCAACCGGACGTTATGTTGAACACAAGGTGAATTGGTCCATTTCATACTCAAAGTGATGAAGATGAACTAATTCCCTTTGTCTCCATTGCCTTTGATCTTCCATGATAAGGTAGTGGACTTGAGTCTTGTTTGCATTGCATTTATTAAATGTGTATAAGATTGGATCTTTGGCCATCATGCATTCCAAATGCTTGATTAATGGTTTTGGATCTAATGGTACCTCTCCTTTGATGTTTTGGGATGATAAGGAGTGGCACAGCACAGACATGTTCTTGGGAAACCCTCTATTTTCCTTTATTTTGTGCATTGTTGCAGCTTGGTGTCACAGCACACCAATGGCCAGCAGTGCCACACTAATGGCCGGCACCCTTGCATTGTTGGCCGACAGAGGCCCATCTTTGGCCGGTAGGTGGTCGGCAGCAGTTCTTTATGGCCAGCAGGCCACTGGTACACTCCCCAGCATGGATTTGGTAAGTTTCAGCAGAGAGTTCTTGAAGACACCCTGCAAACAGAGCCTCTAAAGAGCAAACCGGAGAGCTTTTCGGGGCGAAAACCGAGCATGCATCTTCTTCCTCTTCGAACAGAGCTGGAGCAGCTTAGTTTAATGCTTACTTGTTAGTTAGCATCAATTTGTAATTTGATTAATTTGTTAATTAATTAAGTGTTGTAATAATTAAGTAGCTTAGTTTAGCTATTTCTTTATTGGTTTGTAATAATTAGTCTAATTAGCTTAATTAGATTATTTTGAGTAACTTAGCTTAGATTAGCTTAGTTCATTCGGACCCTCCGTCGAGAGAGCAAAATGTTGTAATAAGGGTGCGCGTGTGTGTGCATGTCTTCCAATCTCATTTCTTTCTCTTTTTTATTTACCGCTTTCGATGGTTAGTTTTAGGGCACGTTTTGATTAACATACCTTATGCTTTGCATGTTTGCATCATTCATTTGTCTTGCATGCACCAGGCTCGGCGCATCATTCAAGCCGCATTGCATTTCAATACACTTGCTTGAATACGTGTTTAAAAGTATGTTATCAAGTGTTGCATTCATATGTCATCTTAGATAGCTGAGCCTATTTTAGTTGCACTTTGCATGTGTTGTATTAGGCATTTTAACATAGTTAGGATCATGCATCATTTCTAACTAGTTTTCTGTTTTTGCTCGGAGTACACTGTAAGTGTTTATACTTTAGCATCCTTGCATGTGTGTATGTGACTGTCATGATAGCATGATTGCCATGAGGCTATTTGCTTAATTGATAAACTGCATGAATGCCTGTAAATGAAGGATTCATTACTTGAATTGGAACAATTCATCAAAATGTGAGTTTTAAGCCCACTTGGAGTGGCAAATCATCATGTGTTTAAGCCAACCTTGTTTGGTGGCAAATCCGCGTTTTAGCCTACTTGCGAGTAGCATCTTCAAACCATTTTCGAAAAACAAACATGAGATGTTTTGTTCCAAATCGAGCGATTTAGTCTATACTTATGTGTTGTGCGCATCACATAGTAAGTTAGTTAATAATCAAACAAGAACACAAGTGCTTTTAAAAACAACATATCATATTTAATAGAGGCCGATCCTTTGATTGGGCGAGCAGGGGTGCTCATTTCATGACCTTCCCCCCTCGTACTCAAATTTCCGAGCTGAGGCAACTTTAGTGATGACAAACACGTGGCCTTAGGCACGTTCCTAAATTTCCCAAAACAAAATATTTAGGTGACGACTCTGAAATCTGGCAAAGCAGTCTATATTTGGCGGTTTTTGATAAAAATCGATTTTCCAAAACGATTTGTCGGATTTGGACTCTTTGGTGATTTATCAATCTCACATTACACCTTGTAAGATTAGATTCAGAACCGTGATAGGAGTCCGAACTGTAGTAGCTAAAACCCGATTCGCGCCCTCTCCGAAAAAGGGAGTACGAGAAAAGAGTTCGGGCGGTCTACACATATTTAACTGTGCTTGTAAAGATTTTGTCATATTAATTTACTCGACAGTGCTGGGGACCCCCAGGGGGTGGTGGGGGTCACCCTCATTGGGGGTCTTAGTCTTTTTCCTAATTTACTCATAAGGTATACTCATATCCATACTCACGTTTCATATAATGGCCTCGTTTGGTGTAGCTGTTAAAACAGCTTATAGATTATAACTTAACAGATTATAGATTATGACTTTAATCAGAAGTTGTTAATCTGTTTGGTGTAACTGTTGGATTATAAATTTAAGTTGCTGAGCAGTGTTTGTTAAATAAGCTGTGAAATAACTTTTTCAATTAATTTTTATTTTTTGTTTGTCTACATTTCTCATAAAAAATAATAATAATAATCTATAGTCCATTTGAGTCTTTTTCTATTTTTAAAAAAATAAAAAATAAAAAAATTTAAAAGTAGAACAAAAAATTAACATGTCCACAGCAGAAACTGATAATCAGAAGCAAGGGGTGAGCAGCTTCTCAGAATCAGCTTTTTTGAGTTAAAATAAGCTGTTAGAATCAGAAGCTGTTTGAAATAAGTTTAACCAAACAGTCCAAAATAACTTTTTCAAAGCTAAAAGTCATAAGTTAGCCCTGAAAAGCTGAAACAAACATCCCCAATATATGGGTGTTTGGAAAGTTAATATTTTAGTGGGCTATTTTAATTTTTAACTATTTTAGGAGATTAAAATTTTTGTGTTTAGAAAGGTAGTTGAATTTTTTTGTAATTGGATGTGACATTTGTGAGAGAAAAAGTGAAATGATTATGAATTTAATTTGATATTTTGTCTTATTAATTATTTTAATTTATTTTATTTTTTAGTACTATTTTAACCAAAAAAGCTCTTCCCAAACATCCCATAAGAAAATAAATGAATGAATAAAATTTGTAATTCTCATTAATTAAAACATTAAGATATGTTTCATTTAAAAAAATATATATACATATATAAGGTCAATGTGAGTTTGAAGTTTCAATCTTGTAGTGCGATGGACAAAAACGACAGCGATAGAGCCCAGAAAAACAAAAGCAAAAAAATAAAATTGGACAAAAAATGGTGTACCAATTAGGATATTAACTAGTGTATTAATATTAATTATAATATTATTATTGATACCACTAATTAATCACATTTTAAATATCAAAAATTTCTTTAATTATGTCATATTATCAATTAATACATTAATTAATACATATAGGTCATGTTTGATTCACAATACTAATAGTGAGGTATTAATAATCCTATCAAATTAGTGTGGTATTAACTATCCCACCCCTACCCCATTACTAATAATCCTACAAATTTGTTGGATTAATTATCCATTGGATTAATAGTCCTAAACTAAAATGTCAAAACAAACATGCTTTAATCCTTCCAATCAAACATGCCAATAGCATCTATCTATCTATATTTATATATATAACCAAATGTTTATATATATAAGCAAATGTACTTGTTTTGTCAAAAGCCTCCAAATATTTATTCTTAAATTCTCATAATTTTAAAATACTCTCTTTCCTACGTGGCAACCTTCTTTGATTGCCTTTCATGTTTTCTATTTTTCTTCATTTTTTATTTGTTTGATTAATTAAAATTAAAATTAATTTCATTACTTATGGATAAAGATTTGAATTTCAAAATTCCTCCATATAGATAAACATATAAAAACTGAAAATTAATTTTATAATCTACAGATAAAGATAAAAAATAAACAATTAATTTTAAAAAATTAATTTTATAACTTATAGATAATTTAAAATTTCTTCCCATAAATAAACAAATAAAAGTTGATAAATAACTTATAAAAATTAATTCCATGGCCTACAAATAAAGATAAAGATTAAATAATTGATTTTTTTTAAATTAAAATAATAAAATTTAGATAAAGATATGATTTGTAAATCTATATATCTATCAAAAACATATATATCTAAATCTTTATTTTGATTTACTCTTTTTTTTTTCTCCTATCACATATTATCTTTTTTTATTTTAAATTTTTTATCTTATGAAATGCTCTTATCATAAAAATCTCACAAAATTAATTTTCTTCACTATATTTATAAATGGTAATAATTTGAGATTCTTTCTATTAGTTATTAAAAATAATTTGCATTAGATCATTGTTATGTTTTTTTTTTTAATTTTTTTATGAGGCTGTCATTCGTTATAGTATTTCTTCAATCCCATCTCTAAATTCTCTCTTTGAAATTTTTGTTTTTTCAATAATTAAGTTTAGAATCAATTTCTTATCAAATTTGTTTTCTTGATCCTTATTTTATTGAAGGATCGAGACGAATAAAACTTTCATATAATATATGAAATTAATGAATATAATACAAAGATGATAGGGAAGTACTACATATTTGTCAATATCTCTATGTTATTATTAGTTGATTTGCTAGATTATACTATCAATTTAGAGTCCATATGATTTAATTCAATGTTCATGACTCTATTTGTATTTAACCATTTTTTCATTGAGTAAGCGATATAATTTTTTTTTGGGTATATAATGATTAAAGCTATCATTTGTTATATTTTTTCAAGTACAATTCAAATAATTTTTTATAATTTTTTTTATAAATAAAATGGATTAAAACTATTCTCTTATATAATTTTTCTAATACTATGACATTCTTATCTTGATTAATTTTTTTAAAATGACGTAGGAACTATGCAAGTATTATTCAAACTATGGAGAATGATTTATACTTTGATATGATATGAGTGTGTCATTGATAGAGGAAATCAAAGATAAAGAGTTGCTAATATAATCAATTAATGATTTGTTTGAGAAATTCTTTTTATAAGCAAGGCAACAAACTTAGATTAAATTTTTTTAAAAATTACTTATAAATTATAATTAAAAGTTGATATTTATTCATAATTTGATCCCACAATAATAATATACCCCATTTATTTAAAAGTCCAAGTAAATTTATGATAACTTTTCTGAGCTTATAGAATTTCTCTCTTTTAATGTTTTGTTTCATTTGATATAAGTTATTTATGTTATCAAGTGATTGTGATACTATTATTCTCAATAATTTTTATAATTAATAATTTCTTATACATATCAAATTTTATTGTAAAATTTTATGGGTTAATTATTGTTAATATCTACCTACATGGCTTAATATTATGGCTTGTCGCTATTAAGATATAATTTAAGATTAAAATGATTTATTTATCACACAAAATATATATGGTCTATTTTTTCGTGCATCGCACGAGTCACCGCTAGTACTATATATTAAGCAAAAGGGAATTTTTAACCCCAAGTCTTGTGGGAGCTCCAATTTCCCAATCTAAATTTCTTGATTTTTTGATTTAAAAAAAAAAAAACTTAGCATTTATTAACATCCCCCAACCCCCAAGTTTTACTCTCATAATAACATTTTAATGCATTAAGAACAAGTATAAAAAAAATTCTTTGAAATTTAACACATGAATTCATTAGAAAGTCCCAATACGTATGATTATTATCACTCATAATAACACTTTAATGCATTAAGAATAAGCATAATTTTTTTTTTTGAAAAGTCTAACACATATGATTATTATCAAAATATTAAATTTGAATATAATATAATAAAAAAAAGACATTTAATTCCTTAAAAAATTTAACATATATGATTATTATCAAAATATTAAACTTTAAAATAATATAAAAAAAAAGAAGAGGACATTTAAAAAAAAAAAAACATTTAAAAATTACAATTTACATATATATACATAATTATAAACACAATTCATGCATACTACTGCCGATATCGTAGTTATTCAAACACAAATACAAACCATACACATTTTGTATTGTACCATATCCTCGTAATCAAAGTTTATCAAGCCCGCCTCAACCTTGTTAGGTAAAGTCATCATTCAATAACGTCGTCAAGCTAATCAAAGTGACTACGCTATTATAAATAAAGAACATTCAAAAACCTAAGGTTACGATTTCACATTTGTCTTCTTCGTCTGTTCGGCGGCGGAGCAAGGGATTTGAGAGATATGGAGAGCGGAGGAGCAGTGTTCGCGGGGATTCAACCAAACCCTAATTATCTTCTCTCTCCATCACACAGCGCAGTTAGGCTTCTTCTTCCTCGGATTTCCTCCGATAAGAAACAGTTTTTTCCTTCTTCTCTCAAGGTATATATATATATATATATATCCTAGTTTATGATTCAATTTTTGTATTTCTTTTTTTCTTTTTTTCTTTGGTAAACTGAGAACTAATAAAAATTAAACAGACAAAGTTCTGGGGAATGAAACCCCTCTAGCATCGTCATACAACTGATTCGATAAATAAGGAGCAAAAATAAAAACATGAAATCCTTCAATGGCAAGACTGCTTTGATTTGCTGGAATGTCCGCACACTTGTACGAACAATAGTACACTGCAATGAGTAGGAATCGCAACATTCACAGCTTTATTCAGTGTAGCACGGCCAGCAAAGGATAACATCTTACTCTTCCGCCCAACAAGTGTACCTTGAATCTTATCAATTAAAAATTGGAACCACTCTTTACTAGGCCTGGAATTGTGGATGGGACAACCTAAATACTTCCCTAAATTAGTGATATTCTAGCTTGATTTGTTATTTGACTAAGAATTGATTGTATTTTGGTTGGCAGGGGATGGGTATGTCTATGCAGATTCAAAGGCAGACGCTTTTCGGTGGTTCTTTTAGGAACAATAGTACCACTGTTGGAGTGGCCCCTCCTTCCACACGGTGAGTCTATTTCACTTTCCAATTTTTATTTTTATTATTAATCCACATACATACATACACCCTATTTTGTTCTTTTTATTATTTCTTTCTTCTTTTTTTTAATTGTTCAGTGAATTCTCAATAGTAAAGTGCATCATGGAAAGCAGTTCAAAAATAAAAAATAAAAAATAAAAAAAATAAAGTGCATTGTGGAAAGGAGGATTATTGTCTTACAATCATGTTGGAATCTATTCGTATCCTGGCTGAAATGACTTTTGAGTTGGTTCTTTTTTGGGTTTCTTGGATTCACATTTATGCTGTGTTTGGTTCATGGATTTGGGTAGTTATATTTCATTCACATTTCACTTACGTTTGCATTTCCCTTTTTAAATTCCTATCCAAATTTATAAACCAAACACAACCTAAAAGAATTTGTTTTCAGAATTGGAGGTACTTGTGGTTTTATATGTAAAGTAAGTATTTAACAATTAGGATCACTACCACCCCACCACCTCTATGGCCGCCACCACCACAAACCGATCATGACCACTCTACCACCACCACCCTATTGCTGTCTCTGCTTCCTCCAACCTACCACCACCACTCCCCCACTAATAGTACCACAGTCACTGTGGCTATTATTGCCACGAGCACTACCACTACCGCATCACAACCACTACCATACAACACCACTAACAGAACCATCAACAGAGTCATTTTCAAGGTCACAACCAAACACTAGAAAATGTTTTGTAAAAAATATTTTTTTGCAAAAAAACATTTTCTTTAACAAAATGTTTTCTGTCAAAACAAATGAATCATTAATATCATGCAATGTCTTGCTATATTGATCACACCAAGCCACCAAGCCGTTTGTCATCTTCTAAAAAAGCCAAATGTCACATCAGATTTTTTCACTCACAAAAAAAACAGTTTTCTAAGCGACTTTCCAAACGCATTAGCTTTTTTAGAAACTAAAATAGCCAATCCCAATTGGGTAATAATACTCGCATGCTACTTTTGAGGTTTCCTTCTTGTTTGTATGTTTCTAGATCCTAATTGTTTGGTTGTTCTACATTAATTTGCTGATTTCATATATTGACAAGGCTTCTGTCTTTGTGACAGTGATTTATTATATGAATTAGCTGACATAGACTGGGACGGCCTTGGATTTGCACTTACGCCTACTGATTATATGCATATCATGAAATGTTCACAAGGGCAAAGCTTTACTAAAGGTGAATTACAACGTTTTGGAAACATTGAGTTGAGCCCATCTGCTGGGGTATTAAATTATGGGCAGGTCAGTTCTCTACACCTTTAATGATAGTAATTTGAAATGTTCTTATAGCATAGACTTTGCCTTTTGCTTGTTGGTCAATTGTTGTGAAATTTGTTCACCTTTGTATTTCTCATCTGTTGGTTGAATTTTCTTTCTTCTTCAACTCACTTCGTGGACATTCAAATTGCAATCTCTTGCAATGAGTTGATGTTGTTTTCGGGACCACTATTTTATTTTATATAGTTTTTTTTTTGCTTTATTTGTTTGCACTATTGGTTGTTGTATGTTGATTTCACAGTTTGTGTGCATGCACACACCCACTTTGATTTGTGTTCTAAAATGGAATTAAGGAATTTCATCATGGATTTACTAAATTCCTATCTTATATGATCTGTGTGTGTTGCTTTTATGTTGTAAGGTGCACTTTTGAGTTGCATTTCAATAATGGCATGAAGTTGTGGTGTATAGTCATGTTTGGCTGTCAGTGTTTTGTCTTCCTTGCCTTGTGATTATGGTGAATGCCATCCCTGTTTATGTCTTCTTTCTCATCCTCTTTAAGTTTTGAGGGGGGGAAAAAAAAAAATTAAATTCTTCTTTGTCTAGTGCTCCGGCAGTAGAATCTTCTAAAATAGTTCTTTTAGTCATCTTCTGTATTTGGGGTTCTTAAGGTAGCATAGCAGTTTGTCTTCGTTTTTACTATTTTATGAATATTTATGGTCAGTACTTCAGTGTTACAGTCTTTGCTATAATTTTGATCAACCGTCTCATTACTTGATGCTATATTTGTGCTTCAGTCATTGCTTTGAATTCTAACGGCGAACGTCATAGACCTCAGTCATTGGTTTGAATTCTAATGGTGAACGTCATAGACCTCAGTCATTGCTTCGAATTCTAATGGAAAACCTTACAGACATCTTGGTTTACAAAGTCTATGTAACATCATATACTGTTAGAACACCATGCAGTTTCTTCTAGACTTTTTCATAATTTTACTTTTTTGTTGATTATTCTTTCAGTTGGCTCGGTTGTAATTTTGACTAATTTTTCTTCTTTGCTATTTGTTGTAGGGATTATTTGAAGGTTTGAAAGCCTACCGAAAACAAGATGGTAATATTCTTTTGTTTCGTCCCGAGGAAAATGCTTTGCGGATGAAGATGGGTGCAGAGCGTATGTGCATGCCTTCGCCAACAGTTGAACAGTTTGTGGATGCAATAAAGACCACTGTTTTAGCTAATAAGCGATGGGTATTGGCAACTTTAATTTTGTAGTGTAAAATTTTATTGCTAATTGGTAGTACTTGTTAGACTAGTAAGTTATTTGGCTCTTATTTCAGGTTCCCCCTCCTGGTAAAGGTTCCTTGTATATAAGGCCATTGCTTATGGGCAGTGGAGCAGTTCTTGGTCTTGCACCATCTCCTGAGTATACATTTCTGATCTATGTTTCTCCTGTCGGAAACTATTTCAAGGTTTGTTTCTTATCCATTACATGACTTTTACAATTGAGTGTAGGTTGCTTTTCAAATAGTGGTTATTTCATTACCCTTTTATATCAACTCTTGCATTAACCTTCTTAGATGCTGAGGCTTCATACAGAAATATTTTCACCTCGAAAAGCCCCAAATTGGACAACTTATACCTCAATACATCCTCTTCCTTACCAGTGGAGCCAATCCCATAAAACATTTCTTTTTGGTGCTTATTTAACCACATCTGATCTTTTAGCCTTTTTAGGTATAGAGTTTACCTACATTTGGTACTTTTTGATATCTCTTTTCCTCTTCTGTTTTTTATTTCTTAGAAATTTTTGGCATTTATCATACCTAGCAACCTTTCAATGTTTGTGTATCTATTATCTATTTCCAGGAAGGTATTGCACCTATAAATTTGATTATTGAAAATGAAGTACATCGAGCGACTCCTGGTGGTACTGGAGGTGTAAAGACTATAGGAAACTATGCTTCGGTAAGCTAGCCTTCCAGTGTTTATTGATGCACTATTTTGTTACCATGCATTCTATATTTTACTGTAGTTACATTTTGGTTTGCTGTTTTTTGCCCCTACTTCAGAATCATTATCAACAGATATTCTTAATGGTCTTAACTCTTCAATTCCCCCCATGACTTGTTCTCCTCTCCCTCACTCTCGCAACTTTTATTTCTTTGTTTTAAATTTAAATTTCTTTATTGGTGTTCTCTCTCTCTCTCTCTATAGAAAAATTGTTGGAAATGCTTTGGACATTCCAACTTACCATAAGGCTTTTGTGTTCAAATTTTCGTGCTCTTTGGTGCAGTGATTGCTTCAATTTCTTGGTGCATCAAGAACTATAAGGATTGTTTGTAACTATAATTCCCATTTTGTTTTTATTCAATGGAATTCTTCAAGAGGTGTTTGTTTTGCATCCTTATAAACTTGTGAGCAATGTAGATGTTAACTCACTTTTCTTTTGTTTTTGTCTACCAATTACTCTACAAAGCCTTGTCTCAACTATTTTGGATCAGCTTGGTGAAGAACTTTCCAGATGCTGCTTTTTGGTTTATTTTTGTTTAATTTCATGGAATATCTATTGGAATATGGGAAAAGCCATGATTAGCATTTAGATCAAGCATGACCATCTTAAAGATTTCATACTGAAATTTGGACTACATTGTACAAATATCTTTTTTGTTAAAATTTACCATCACCTACCACCACCTACTCCTCACCTACTCCTCACCTACTACACTCACCCTCTCCTATATAATGAGCCACTCACCATTTGTAATAAACACAACAACATATCAATCAATAATACATAAATTCTTACATTTTTCATCTTTCTGATCATAATTTGTAGGTGTTGAAGGCACAGACTGCTGCAAAAGCCAAAGGCTATACTGATGTTCTGTACCTTGATTGTGTAAATAAGAAATATCTGGAAGAGGTTTCCTCATGTAATGTTTTTGTTGTTAAGGTATATTTAACACTGTTATTCTTGATTATTGAGAACTTTTTTTTTAATTGTTTGGGAAAAGGAATATCAATAACTTGCCATATGCAGAATTGTCCGCCTGACCTTTTTTGTGTTAAATTTATTTATTTATTTCTTGAAAATTTCTGCATATACACCTTCTCTCTTGTAAAACTGAAGAATGTAGAACTCTTGTTCCTTATTGCCATTGAATCAATTGGTGTGTATAATCTGTATGGAATAGTGAAACTTGCATATTAATCTACTAAGAATTTGTTAAGATAATAAGGGTAGTCATAAAGTGCTACACATACCTGTTTAAAAAGTGTACACTTCTTTAAAGATCCAACTATTTCTCTCTTGATGTTTGCCTTCAAGGAATATAAGACATTTGTTGATTAAATCATTCCTTTCAAGTTGTCTTCAGTTTGTGGTGATGTTGGAATGTGATTTGAGGTCAAGATTGAGTTTCAAACTTCATATTTGGGTATAAACCTTGAAACAGATCTGAATTACTGTCCATAGTCCAAACATGAGATTGTAGTTAAATCATTGAAATTTTTGTAAATTCTAGTGGAAAGATGTTTATTTGTTCTTGTTGATAAGAATAGAAATTGGCCAGTGTAAAGGGACTAAAATCACCGTATCTTCGGTACTTTTATGCTAGTACTACCACGCCTCTCTTCCATCACACGTGATTAACTATTGCCAGACCATGATGACTATCCACTACTAGCACCCCACCTTTAATAAGAGGTTTGCTACTTTAGCAACATGAATGATCACTGCTAACGGCATTGGTTTTACTACTTTCTCTTTCTTTGTCAATGCCATGTAATCATACGATAATTTGATGCATGATCATTGGGTGGAAGATGGGATTTCTTTTGTCCTTAGATTTTACAAGGAAGGTATATTATTGTAGAGTTTAATCACGTATTTTTTTTTTGGGACGTAATTGGGAGAATTTGGAGTTTAATAGCATACATGCTTTACCATGTAATCATTATATTTACAGCGCAATTCTTTCTTTTATCTATCTACAAGTGAGATTTTAAAATTTTAAATATTTTTAGTTATTCTGCCTCCTAGGATAATGTCATCTCTACCCCTGCAATAAAAGGGACCATCCTACCTGGCATTACACGAAAGAGTATTATCGACGTTGCTCGAAGCCAAGGATTCCAGGTATGTATGGACGGCCGTGATATATTGATAGTTAGGTATATAAGACAAATGCAAATTATTGGACTTATTGTTATTCGTTGTGGAAATGATGCTAGCTAATTCTCAGGTTGTGTTCATTGGAATGGAATGGAATGAACATTCCATCAAAACATTCATTTCCTATGCTTGGTTGACTAAAAAAAAATAATGAAAAATACATTGGGAATGGAATTATCATTCACCATTGCAATGGAATGATCATTCCATAGGAGAACTAAAGGAATAACCGTTTCATTTCATTCCATCTCATTCCAGTGAACCAAATAGAGCATTAGTGTTGTGAATTTATGAAATACAGAGGGGTGCCATTCTCAGACCCACCCTGTTAAATGTCAGGCATTTTCACTTTTTTTAGCTCCTTGGGATTAACAAGCCTGTTTCAACAATCTACTTAATTTTTTGTCTGGACTTCAATGTTTTGATTACACTCATCCTAACTCACCTATATCTGTAACAATGTAATGTAATATCATGGAGGGTAAATTACAATTTTCAAGATTGTAATTTAGGGTAATTTTCACTTTGACCCATATTTCAATTCCATTACATTAGGCCCTATACTTATTAATTTCAATTAGGTCTACTGTCAACTCTCTTTAGGTTGGCTTCTTTGACCTCATGGATCCCACAGGGAACCTATAATTTAAGCATAAAAAGAACATATATTGTAATTAAATACCATGGAAAAAATCAAGTATTTGACCAGCCAAGAAAACAATACAAATTTAAGGCTCAAGTTGAAATGCGATAACCGAAGCTAAGAATGGCAATTTCACCTTTGATGGGGATAAGTTTTTTCTTTGTAGTGAAATGTTCTACGCCTTGAAGGGAAAAGTATTTGCACCTTTATATTTAAGTCTTAATCTTTACTATTTTAAAATATTTAATTTATTTGCGTAATATAAAATTTTAAAATTTGAAATGCTTACACACCTCATTTCACAAGGGATAAAATACCTTGCCTTATGCATTCTCCTTTAAAAACTTTGTTGTAAATATTTATATTTGTATGCATATGTATATTTCGTGTCAGTCCTGTGCCATTGTGGTTCTGCTTTAGTTCCAAATGTTGTAGCTTATTTCCAGTGACTTTGATGTGCAAATGACTTGTTGCCTCACATTTTCGCTCTGCTATATAATAATGTGTAGGTTGAGGAACGACTCGTAGCAGTGGATGAAATACTTGATGCTGATGAAGTGTTTTGTACGGGGACAGCTGTTGTCATATCACCAGTGGGCAGCATAACTTATCTTGGTAAAAGGTAAAGTTTATAGTGTGGTTTTGTGCTTTCAGTATAATGTTTGAAACTTTAAATTAATTGTATGTAACTTTATGGCTTGCTTAGAAAATGTAGACACGGAATGCCAAGTTGAAAATATCCAACCTCAAACTATGAAAATAGAAATTCTTTCTGCTGCTCCTAGCTGTCAAGCAAATGGAAGGAGGTCACACGAAAAAAAAAAAAAGAAAAAAATTGAAGAAGCAGAAATTTTGGAAGCGTAAACTTCGGATATTTTCTTATAAAGATTCCTTGAAGATAAAATGTAAAAGTCAACCTAAATAATTCTATCGGAAAAAAAAATCTACTAAGTCAACACATGTGATCACAAAATTTGGCTGATGTTTTATTTTTTCAAGAACCTATAAAATGGAAGATGTAGAGTAATTTTTCAATTTTTTGGCCAAAAAAATCTATCTAGTCAACAAATTTTTTCATATTATACTTGAAAATATGTGTTCGTGGAAGTACATTGATCATACAAGACGAGCCATGCTCAAAAGGCAAAAAACACCAAAACACAAATGATTAACAAGGATTTTTGTTTAGTGTGGTCATAAAGATTCAATGTATAAATGTATGACAGATCTGTGGGATTGCTCTAAGTGATTGTTCATTGTGGCTACCACAATCAGATAACACTTCTCTTTTCATCTGCAGGGTGCCTTATAAAAACAATGGAATTGGTGTTGTGTCACAGCAACTATATTCTGCACTTACTGCACTACAGATGGGGCTCACCGAGGACCAAATGGATTGGGTTGTTGAGTTGAAGTAGGCTTTATGTTGTGTGTTTTGGATTGGCCTTTCTGACTCTGCAAATTGATCCGTACTTGCTTTCTTTCGACGTCAAAGAATATTTAGTTTTGCATCCTTTATCCAAGTGTAAGCAGTTGGTGGTCTGGTTTATGTTTGTTTATGACTGTACAATCTGTACTTGTTCGCTTCAGGTTGTTATAAATTACCGGACAGGTCTTACCTTTTACGGGGATCTACGCAATAAATGATGTATATATGTATGACTTGTGATATTATAAAATAGTGTGATTGAGTTGTCTGGCTTAAATCTTAGGCCTGTTTGACAATTTTTCTTTTTAGTTAAAAAGTCAAAAAGTTACTACATTAGTCAAAAAGTCAACAACTCATACCAAAAAGTTAAAGATTTTTTTTTTCTTCTATTTTTTGTACATCTTTTCATAAAAAGTCAAAAAGTCATCCAAAACATGTTAGTTTTTTTTAGTTCATATTTTAATCAAATAGCTAAAAAGTTACTAAATTAGCTTGTTTCCAAACTAGTCTTTAATAGACCTTTCAAGAGGACTTCCAAAAATAGTAGGTCCAAGGTTACATTCAAAAACTAAGTGAAAAGAAACCTATTGATCACACTTCTCCTTCCTTACAATATCTATTATTAACTAATAATGGTGAACCAGAATGCTACCAAAAAGAATGTATGAACACCGAAAGAAAGATTGATCAAAGACTAGACTTTGGCTGAATATAAAACGATAAAAAATGTCAAAGGTGGATTTAGTTGATTACTTAGATTTGGGTGTTGAATTTCTTTGTTTGCTGCGAAGTGGCATCCTTTGTCATGATTTTGAGTCATGATCTTCTTGCGGTAATCTAACAGTTTCTCTCTCTCTCTCTCTCTCTCTCATGTTTGTGACGTTCTAGGGAAACCTTAAGGTTGACTGCTTTTGGCAGAAATTTTAATTTCAAATTTATATTACGGTAACCACATATAATTCACTCAGATGTTGTATTTTTATCTGGGGGAATTACACCAGTGGATGTTTTCAAAAATATTTTCAAATCAGTGGTAAAATTTATAAATATTAATAATTGAATAATATGTTCAAATCACTGGTAAGATTTTTAATATTAATAATTAAATAATATGTGGACATAGTTGGCCATATATTTAGGGGTTGTTTGGGGTGTTTGCACTTTTTTGTTTTTTTAGATTAAAAAGTTGAGGAAAAAAATATGGATGTTTAGATTAACTTTTTGACTTTTTATGAAAAAATGTGTATTAAAAAATTATATAAAGAAGTGTGTATGAAAAGATTGGAGATGAGTGAATGACAGCTGTACAATCTGCCAACCGAATTCAAGCAATAAATTATTGGGTACTTTTCGGGCATTGCAGTGGACTGTTTTGTTTGGCTCGTGGGGGCCATTACGGGTCCTATTTTGATAATCTGAACTGTTCAATGTGTAGAACTCGTTGAGCACTATATGCCTATAAAAAATCATATTGATCGGATATCGATAGCTATCTGATCAGATTTGTTTTTTTCAATCTTTAATTATAACACTGTCCATTTTTTCATACAAAACTGATATGATCATATAGTTATCGATATCCGATCAATGTGAGTTTTTATAAAAATATAATACTCGACAAGTTCTACACATTAAACGGTTCAGATTATCAAAACGGGACTCGTGATAGGCCCCCACTGGCTGAACAGCAGTGTGTCAAAATTGCCGCAAACTGTCATACTTTTCTGTCACAACGCTGCACAGCCAAAACGTAGGAATGATTGTTGAGTTGTATGAATTTGTGAAAAATTATCCGATCAATGTGAGTTTTTATAGAAATATAATACTCGACAAGTTCTACACATTACACGGTTCAGATTATCAAAACGGGACTCGTGATAGGCCCCCACTGGCTGAACAGCAGTGTGTCAAAATTGCCGCAAACTGTCATACTTTTCTGTCACAACGCTGCACAGCCAAAACGTAGGAATGATTGTTGAGTTGTATGAATTTGTGGAAAATTAATTTTTTAATATTTTTTTGATGGATAATAATAATTTTTTAATTTTTAGAGTACCTTTTTAACTTTGTGTCTTTTTTAGAACTATGCCATACCAGCCCATAGTAGGTGTCGAAAAGTGTTGGATTAGTACCGTTTCAGTGTCCGGCACAACCTTTTATCTTAAAAGTGTCCGTGTTTCTTGAGATACACCTGATCAGGATTCTACATAATTGTATTTAGGCCTTGTTTGGTTTGTGTTTCTGAAAAAATTTTAGAAAAAATTCTCTACAAATAAGTTTTCAAAAGTAATCAAACCAAACAAATTTTTTCAAAATTTTTTTCCAAAACTTGTTTGGTTTACAAGTTTTCCAAACAAATCTCTCTTATACACATCAAATCAATAATTTTTTCCAAAACTCTCTCTCAAAATAATTTTTCAAAATATCTTTTCAAAAAAAACCAAACTAAACAAATTTTCAAACTTTTTATTTCAAAACATATTTCTCAAATACAAACCAAACAAACCCTTAGATTCTGGAGTAAGAAAGACAATGAGAAGAATTTTGGTCTCCTGTTCTGCCATTTCAATTTTCTCCATTATTCTATCCATAAAGGCCCCTTTTCACACCACACTTTTTGAAATCTGTTGACCGTTCCATGTCTCTCCAGTTATTATATAGTGTCTCTCACATACTCTCTCTCTCTCTCTCTCTCTCTCTTTCTCTCTCTCTATATATATATATAATCATCAAGAGGTGAAAATAAAAATAAACCAAACACTGCCAACCTCAGAAGAGAAGACATGGGTAGAGCTCCTTGCTGTGACAAAGCCAATGTCAAGAAAGGGCCATGGTCACCAGATGAAGAGGCCAAGCTCAAGGCTTACATCGAAGAGCATGGCACAAGCGGCAACTGGATAGCCTTACCCCAGAAGATAGGTACCATTCATGAAATCACACATAAACCTTGCATACCCTACATATAGAATTAATACATACCCATTAATGAGCTCAAGTGAAATTTAACTGTTAATATATGGTTTTTTTTAGGCCTTAAGAGATGTGGCAAAAGTTGCCGGCTTAGATGGTTGAACTATCTCAGGCCAAACATCAAGCATGGAGAGTTTTCAGAGGAAGAAGATAACATCATCTGCAACCTCTATTTAAGTTTTGGAAGCAGGCAATAAACTCGATCGAAGTACTTTGCTTTTTTATACTTTCATGTGTTGCAAAAGATTAAACATGTTCCACTCTTGGATTGCATTATTCATAGGTGGTCTATTATTGCGGCACAACTGCCAGGGCGAACTGACAATGATATTAAGAATTACTGGAACACGAGATTAAAGAGAAAGCTCATGGGCAGACAACGCAAGAAACAACAGGCTCCGAGAATGAGCAGCCTTAAACAAGAGATGAGGAGAGAAAGTAGAAGTTTTATAGTTTCTGAGGCCATGAACCCGATTCTGTATTGGCCACCTAAACTACCTGCACCCATGGAAGCTGCGAATCCGAGCCAAGAGGATCATCATCTCAAGGATCAACCATCTGTAAGGAAACTGCCGGTTAGACTAGGAGGAATATTTCTTGATGATCATCAACAGCCAAACAACAATAGCACAAATCTTCAACATCCTTTTGATAATTCCATCGATACGTTTGCCTGTTCAACCTCCATGAATTTGATGAATAGCACTTATTCCCAACTGCCAAACACCCAAGACATGTTTCAAGGATTCAACAACTACCCAATTGAGCTAGGAAAAATGTTCTATGATATCCCTCAACAAGTAGATGGATTGGAGGGCTTTTATGGGTTGGACATGGTGAATTGTAACAGCAGAACTAGTTCTGTAGAAAGTGCTAGTTTGGGGTATATGAATATTAATTCTCTGTCTCTGGTCTATCCTCTAATGGTCTTCAATCATGAAGACATTTGAAGAGTAGAGGTACTACGGGGATTCACAATAGCAGCCCTTTATGTTGGTGTACATTGTTAACAGTAGGAAATTCTGTGTTAAGTGACTTATTTCAGGCTATCTCAGCAGATACCCTATTGAACAAACTTAGTGATTTGTTTGTTTTGCACTATCACTTTTATTCTGAGAAATGAAAATTCTCTTTTCTTTCTTTCTTTTTCTTTTCTTTTCCCCCCCCCCCACCCCAATTAGCATAGAATTTACTTGACAAATACTACATGTCACTTATTTTTTAACACCATTTTGTGTATCACCATAGTTTTAAACATAGCTCAATACGTACTGTATTGTCTGATACAAATTGGATTTTTGTCATTTTGATACCGATACACACCGTTATAATGGTAAGAATAAAAGTTACATGCATATGGGCTGATTCCTGATAGGTATTGGTTCATATCTGATTCACAGCTAATAGGGCTAGTTCACAATCATTTGACCACAAGACCTGATTATAAACTATCTTTATGCTTCTTAGATATTTGGTTTGAATTGTGTTATGTCTGTTACAAAGTTTGTTCAACCTCCATGGAAAAAGGTAGTTGGAAAGATGGAAAGGTGGTTTGACATTTTGGCCTCAACTTGCTTGGCTCTATTGCATGACATTGTAGGGTATCCAAAGATTCCAAACATGGCTTCATTCCTTTATATGCAATTACAATAAGAAAGAGCTGTGAATTAAAGCACACACATGCACATATATATATAGCACCGGTCCATCTGATATGTAGTTCCAATAGGATTGTACAAATACAATCTCCAAGTCATGAATCTAAGCTAATATTTGCCAGAAAAATTCTCAGTGTTTTGTTCACTTTGAACTTTAGTACAATAATTGAGGGAGGGAGATGAAACTTGAATAGTTGGGGAAGGAAGGGATGAAGCTTGAGCGAAAGTGTTGCTAATTTGTGCCCCTTCTGAGTAGATAGTTTGTCGCACTATTTTGAGGCAATACACGAGCACTTTGGGGTTTCTGGGGGTTTGCTTTTGTTACTTGTAAGAAATAGGGTCATACTTCCAAGATGTAGTTCGAGTAAGGCACATCCTAAGTCGAAAATTCATTATTCCCAAATGTCTGTCTCTTATTTGAAAACACTAATAGCAGCCGGATTATGTAAGAATCTCAAGATACAAACATCTCAAAATATGATCTAGTGACTCTTAAATGTTTTGAAACAAGAGGACCGAGAAATTTGAGAATAAAAGATCTTGCGTCTATCAGACAATATCTTACTTCAAAGTTTACAGTTTTACTCCAATTAATTACCGGTTAGAGGGATGCATAGCACCATATATTTTATTGTAATTAGATTATTTATCATCTCTACAATGCTGTATCTTTAGGTGCAATTTTTTTAAGGCCCTTCAATTTGTGCATTCATTTCGAGAAAGCATATTGGTTTTGAATTTGACAAAGTTCTCTAGTTTTCATATTAGAATTCAATGTCCTTGAACAGTTTCAACTCATCATGTGATTCTCTTCTTTTCAATAACTTTTTGAAGCTTGGCTGGTCAGCATTATGAGACAAAGGGGCACAACATTTCATGCAAAAAAATCCAAATGGGTAACACCATCATCCGATGCCTACGCCAAACAATCTCAGCCCCACATTGCCCACCGACTGTTTGACCAAATTCTCCAACCTGACCTCGTCTCTTACAAGTTACAACACGCTCATCTCTGCTTGGGTTGTAGTTGGATCGAGGTGATACACAAGTTTGTGGCTTGAGGATAGTTCACACTCACTGATAAAGGGAATTTGTGATTTCTTGGAGGAGATGTTGAAAACTTGAAGACCAAAAAATTGAGATCTTTTTGTTTTTAAAAGATGTGTACAAGAAATTTTTGTATATAATATTATAAGTGTTGCTGGATGTCTATTATAGTCATTAAGGTTTAGGGTATAATTGTCATTAAATTAAAAACTCATTAAGTGTGTTTCTTGAATTATTTAGGTGTATGAAAATAGAATTTCATCAGGTCATCGAGTACATCGATGACCCTTGAGAACTCATGCTCCAGATCAAGCCCCAGATCAAGTCAAAATTACATAAAATCAAAAACTGCTTAAAATAGCAGATTTGAGTTTGAATATCTAAAATAAAATGAAACTTTAAGAAAATCTTAGTTACATTTAAAATTTAATTTCAACTAATAAAAAATCTTAGTTACTGTAGGGATATATTTTTAAGTACCGACACGTGGCAAGGTGACGCCAACGTGTCAGCCGAGTTACCACGTGTCAGGGTCATGACGCCGAGGTGATCTCGGGTAAGCCGAGATTATCTCCGAAGATATCAGAATCCGAAATAATCAGATAAAAGATAAGGGACAAGAGTCCTAGAATAAAGAGGAGACTTAGCCAAGACAAGGATAAAGCTCTTAGGGAGTTTATCTTTATCTCTTGAGGAGTCCAAAGTAAGTACTGAACAGGAATCCATAGAAGTCAGGTTTCTAATGGGATTTGGATTGAGGTAACTATAAAAGAGAGGCACCCCGTGGGTCTAAGGTACGCAATCTTATGTTTTGAGCATTGAGTTTAGCATTATTGATTATCTTTGAGAGATATACTGACTTGATCGTCAGAGTGGCCCCAGGTGGTCGAACCACCGCCGAAATCTTCTCTTTCTGTTACAGATTAGCCAGGTGTCATCTATTCTGCCAGTGTTCTTCAGTTGAATACTAAGTTGGATAGTGTGATCGGAAAATCACCCACACAATTTGGCGCCGTCTGTGGGAACAAAAGTAGAATAGATGGCCAGTAACGGACAGAAGGAAAAGATTGGGGACGACACTCCTACTGGGAGTGGGAGACCTATTGACCTTGATGGCGAAGGAGAAAGGTCGAGCGCAGAAACTCATGAACAAAATCACGGAGCGAAAGACGTCGGCCAAACTAGCGACGCACCAAAGAAACCTGATCAAAGCAGGTACTACAACGAAGACGACCTCTAGGTTTGGAAGGATAGGTGCCTACGGAGGGACGAAGAGGTAAAAGAGATGACAAACAAATTGGCAGACCTGCAATCGGTCGTCAATTTCATGATGCAAAATAACGTCATGCAGCCACCATACCCGCTGCACGACACGCCGATTCCAGCGGCCAATACCCTGAAGGAAGGACCGAAAACAATCCCCGTAGCCCCTCAGCACAACGGAGACGAAAGATACTCTCATCGACCTTCTAGGGAGGACGGACGAAGAGAATCAAGAAGAGAAGGATCACGGAGGATGCATCGCACAAAGGAGGCAGACCCCAAAGGACATTGGTATGTTTAAGAGCAAGCACTGTGCTTCGACACAACTCACGGAGAAGGGTCGAAAAGGGCTCACCACGAGGCCGAGAGTAAAATACCGAAAAGACCGAAGTCGAAAGATAGCCGAGCTCCTAGGCGGAGCAAACAAGACTTAAGAGATTATCTCAAAAGGAAGCAACATAATGCCTACGCTGAGGTAACCCCCCCAGATAAGCCGATGACACCATTCTCGGTGGAATTAGACAGATTTGAGGCACCAAAGCGGTTCAGGACTATATTTGAACTCAATGGCATTGTATAGTGGGAACGAGCCGTTGCTCTGCAAAGTGTTCCCCTCATCCTTTGGGGAGATTGCATCAGATTGGTTCCACAAACTACCGAAGGGAAGCGTGAAGAATTGGGAAGGCCTGGCCGAGATGTTTGTGGCCAGGTTTGTGACAAACAAGCTGCAGCCATTAAGGGTGGATGCATTAATGGCTCTGAAGATCAGCAAGGATGAAGGCCTTAGGGCTTATGCAAAAAGATACTATGAGGTGTTCAATTGAATACCCGAATGTAATCAAGAGGTGGCAGTCGTATTTTTTAAGAACGGCTTGAAAGACAACTATCCACTACGAAAGTTTTTGGTAAAGACATTGCCAAAAAGTATGGAGGAGCTCATGACGAGAATCGAGAAGTACGCTAGAGCCGAAGAAGACATGTCGGGAACTAGGGAAATAAAACAAGAGAAAGGAAGCGGCTCGCCGAAGCGAGGCCGAGGTAACAATGGAACAAGCAGGCAAGAAGCAGAACTGAGGGCCACACAAGCAGTAACAACTGTGTTCCGAATCCCAATTCCCAAAGTCCTGGATCAAATTCAGAACCAGCCCTATTTCAGAACGCCAAAAAAGACTCCAGGAGAGTTCATGGGAAGAAACATTGGCAGGCATTGTGCCTACCATAATGAAGATGGACATACAACTCAGGGTTGTAGAGCCCTGAAAACATATTTGGAAGATCTGGTGAGACAAGGACATCTAAGAGACCTTGTCGATGAGACCAGGACAAGGGAAGAACGGGCAAGATTGCCTCAGGCACTAGCAGCTCTACCTCCCCCAGCACAACAGCCGCAGGCAGGAGGACCTCGGATAATCAACATAATCCACTCGAAGGTTAACGAAAACGAAATCCGAGGAGAGACCCAGAAAGTGAAGCACCTGCAACATGTCTACCAAGTCGGGGAGAAAAGACATCGGGCAAAAGAATGCCAAGGACCAATGATAACCTTTACTGAAGCCGACCTAGAGATGGTCCAGCATCCGCATAATGATGCCTTGGTAGTATCCCTCCAGGTTGGGGAGTGCCAAGTGAAACGCATCCTGATTGATCAAGGCAGCTCTTGCGACATCATGTACGTCCGATGTTACAAAGAGCTCGGCCTTCACCCAGATGATATGGAACAGTCCAATGGCCCATTGGTTGGGTTCAATGGAACGCCGACATGGTCTCTGGGAGCAGTAAGCTTGGAAGTGCAGGCTGGCACCAGGAAGATCAAGACAGAATTCACTATCATCGACACACCTTCCCCTTACAACATCATCTTGGAGAGGCCATGGTTGCATGCAATGGGGGCAGTTCCCCCAACATTGCATCAACTATTGCGATTCCCAACAGAGCATGGGATAGAGGAAGTTAGAGGTGATCAGTTGCAGGCGAAGAATTGCTCTATGGCAGCAATGAAATCTACTTGCAGCGTTCGAGAGCCAAAGAAGACAGAAATTGAAGATAAGAACGTGGAAGTCCTAGAAGACGTCGGCAAAGAGCCAGCCTAGAAAAGCGACGAGGCACTAAAGAAAATCCTCGGCCAGGATGGGGATG